AAACAAAACTAAAACAGTAAGCACAAATCTTAGTGAGTTCCCCCATCATACCACATACCATACAATCACATAGCATACATACTGTCGGGCAATTCTGGGGGTGCTGACCTACCCGTGTCTAGCCATTCTGGGGTGCTGACCTACCCGTCGGTCCTAACAACCGAACTCCGGGGACTATTTCACCCCTACTACTACTACCACACATATCATAACATAATCATATTGCCAGGCATATCTAGGGTGCCCGACCTATCCTTCGGTCCTAACAACCGAACTTGGGGACTATTCCCCTCCTACCACTATCACATATAACTATCATGCTAACACATAAACATTCCAGGTAGTAGCAAACCAGACAATTATCTAAACTATAATCAACTACTAGTGGGCAATCCAACCGGAAGGTTGTGTGCCAGGGCAATCCAACCGGAAGGTTGTGGGCCAAGGGTAATCCAACCAGGAGGTTGTGGACCCGATATGTGTTTTGTATATGTTCTGTTGTGTGGTATTTTGGGGGAACTCACTAAGCTTTGGCTTACAGTTTAAGTTTTATGTTTCAGGTACTTCAGATGATCGGGGGAAAACAAATGCGTGATCATGCATATTCTCCTGATTTATGATATTTGATTTTGGGACACTCTAATATGTGATTATTATATTTGGAAACAATGTTTTGTAAACAAGTATTGCTTTTGGTTGGATTTTAAAAAATAAAAATTTTATCTTGATTTTTGGGATGTTACAACATTAATGTGGCTGATAGAAAGACATTTCTTGGTGCAACCTCCAATAAGCAATTACTTAAAAACAAATTTGAAAAGATAAGACACAAGCCATTGACAAAAAGGAATTAATGTAAACAATACTAAATTAATGTAAACAATACTTATATGAGTAAGAGTCTTAAAAAACAAAAGGCAAACGAAACTAACCCCAAAATCAAGATGGAAAGCATGCACCAGGACTAGTCGTAGTAGTGGTTGGTGGTGGAGGACTAGTCGTAGCAGTGGACAATGGTGGCGTGAGGCATGGCGACAACGAGTGAGAGACCAGGGTCGATGTTCTCTGGTGGAAGGTGATGCTTCTCTAGTTCCCTATATCTTTCTTGGTCTTGATTTTTCACTTTGTGAATATATATTCTTATATTTTAATGTTTTCTTTTTCTATTTTTTGCAACCTTTTTTCTTTTATTTTACCTCCCTATTTTATCTTCTTGATCGTAACGGATCATTATAACACGTAATGTTGTTTACTTCCTTAATTTCCCACTTTTATGAGGCAAATATATATTTAATCTTAAAAAATATTATTCCAAACATGTATTCAGTGTCCTATTCGGTCATTACATTGCATTTAAACTTTTGTTAGCTATTTTTTCAAAATCATTAAAGGGGCCAATAATAGTTGTATTCTCAAATAATAAGCTAACTTCTAAATTTTATGGTATTAGCTAGTAGTCTAAAAACCAAAGGGGTATGGCCGCTCTTGGCCTTAAAGACATATGCCACTGAATTCGCCTTTATCTTTTTTTTTTCGTCATATTACTAGGAATAAACTTTCTAACATGAGAATTGCTTGTGCGTGACAATTAAGGTAATAAATTTTGAAACTTCAATTCCGGTAAACTATAAAGGCCTATGACTTTATATTTATGATATGTAGGAGACGATGACATAGTTGATGCAACATGAAGGCTGAAA